ATTTTGTGGCGGCAAACCTATACTACACCCATTAAGTGCTTTTATGTTTATGTTTTACTGCTGCCTAAACCTCACTGTTAGCTACTTCACAGACTAACATTTCACCTCTTTAACCCTTAAAACAAGACTGAATTCAGAGGTTTTGAATGCTTTGAGTAGTGCCTAGAGTACTACCTTCAGATTCGGAAGGCCGAGCCATGCCATTTGCTTAAGTCAAAGGTTCTGTTAAAACGTATTGATATGCGTGTTCTTCAACACTTTTTTTTGTCAATGGATATAATCCCCTTATCTCTGACAACTTTGTTCCAACACCAAAAGTAACACCCATTATTTCTAAAAGAGAAACCAAGAAAATACACACTCAATAACAGAAACTGTTCAGGTTTAACACTAGCATGAATAACCTTAATGAAGAAAGGAAGAGAGATGCGAGTGTGACTACTAATCCTTCTCTCTCCCTATTTCTTCCTACAAATGCTACCTCTTGTTTTAGAGATATCATATATTTAAACAGACCTGGAGACAAACTAATAATATTTTTTTAAATTCTAAAATTACTAAGTGGTATTTTTTAATTACAAGTAAATGACATTAAACAACTCTTCAGACCTTCCCAATTTATCTTTCACTAATGTGAAATGTCAGATCACTCTAAAAATAACTACTCACATTTAGCAGCATTTTGTATGACAAAATAATCCTTTAGCTTTGAAGCAGCAAAGTCAATTGGTTGCATAATGTAGAAAATTCCTGACAGCTTTCTCTCATCACTAAAACAACTTCTTATTTCTGTTCTTTTATATATGTACACACACACATATGGTGGATCAAACTTCAGACTAGGAAAAATTCCCATAAAACGAAGTAAAGGAATTGTGCAAATTAAAAAACAGATGATTTGAATAAAATCTGAATTCTTCACTTTTGCATGTTTTTTGTTTGGTTTTATGCAATTCAACATTCAATTTCATGGTCAAGTGTGAAAATAGAAATCATATATATATTCAACTTTAGAATTTCCATTTTCATTGTCTTTGAGTGTTGATTCTTTTTGCCCATAAAGCTTGCACACATGTGAACATATACAATACATCACCACAAATAACACAGACCTCCAGGTCATTAGATGAACAACCTGGAAGAAAAATTAGAAAGCAACTATCCATCAACACATGAACACTATGACCTAATTACGCTTCTATTTTCTCTTTGAACTGAATTTTGCTGTCTTAATTTCTTCTGCAAACCCACTTATGTCCCAACCATATCCTTCTCATCTGACTGTCATTTGCTGTCTTATGACCTCTCTTAGTTTCTCAATAGAGCTATGAGTTTCAGAACTTACTTGCTCTGAGGATGTTCTCCTTGCTGCTGCATCTGGACTGGACCTGCAGAGAAAGAAGAGAGTCTATGAGCTACAGAAGTTAACAAGAATGCAAAATACAAAGATATAATGGGCAAGCTCCTGGGATCAAAGACAGAGGCTATACATATTTTCAGCAATGTTCTTACATATTCTGCATAAAATATTTAAGCAGAAGGGTAGTAGCTGATGGTCAGAATCTGATACAGGAATTTGACTCCACTCTTCCTCCCCGCCTCCCCCCCCCCCTAAAAGAAACAATGGCCTAAGGATGATAATAGAGTAAAATCAAAGAACACAGTGGTCAAAATTACATGTTAAGCTCCAGTTTTAAACCAAAAAATCCACATTTTCTTATAAAATTGTAACTACAGTAACTCTGAATCTACGTCCTGTTTTATGATTAGACAAAATACTAACATATTATCGTGATCTGCTTTATAGAAAGAGTTTTAAATATTCAAATTAGATTGTGTTAATTCTGAAGATATTTAATAAGTCTTCTTTGCAATTGTGTAAGCAACTCACAATTGTATTAACAGCTCCTGGCTGGAGCCAGATATATTTACTCAGTTGTTTCTGTCTTGTTAAACTAAATGCTATGTTCAATATGAATGTTACAGTGCCATTCTACTTTAAAAAGCAACTGTGTGAGAATGCCAACAGGTTTCTCAACAAATCCTCTTCCTTGAAGCTTAGCTGCCACTGTGCTATTCCAGATACATTAGTCTGACTCTAGGGAAATTGGAGGATTCACATTGGTCTAATATTCTAGTAACATTGGGTATTTAGAGTTCCACCTATTTACCATGCAGATTTAAAAAACTAATTCTTTTTTTAAGAGTATCAGTCCTGTAAATATGACACAATTTGGCATTTATCTATCCTGAAGCATCAGCTCTTGTTAATTCTTCTCAGGTTTGGAAAGATAACACATTGTATAACAACACTGAAGTTGCAACTTCTTGGATGAACTAATCTGAACAGGAATCAATCTTCTGGCAGGTCAGCTTACTGAATTGGTAAAATCTGAATAAAAAGCTTTTTGTGTGGACAATACCCCAGCTAAAGTAAAATTCACAGGAAGACAATCCTCTCAGAGGGTATGAACAGAATCCTACTCTTTTGTACTTTATTAACAAATGTATTGCTAAATTTCAATGAAAGGTCTAATAAAGTAAAATTGGACAGTGGTGAAAGAAGTGGAATAGCACAAGTCCTGTTGAGGGTATAATTTCCCTGCAGAACATTTGCCTCTGCTGAAGAAGCGAAGGAGTGAATACAGATTATCTTCCAGACTAGTTTCAATTTGCAGAAAAATTGCCTACAAATTAAATTTGTATGATCTAACAACTGATGAAGAATGGTACACAATCAACCCTCAAAAGTCTTCAGAAAGGAACAATCATTTAAAGCTGAAACCAACTGTGGCCCAACTTCTAAACCTCTTTCTTCTGTTCCACAGCAGCTTGCCCCAAATGTATATTCACATAAAAAAATTGGATTCTACAGTGCAACAGTCTACTTATTGTAATGGAATAACTTATGGAAAGTAATGTTGCAACTTAGAGTGGGTTATGGTGTCCTTCCCTGAAGAAAACTGTTGTTTAAAAAAACAAACAGAAAATCCCCAAACCCTCCCTCCTTCCCACCAAAACCATTATATAAGAAAACTGCAAACAAAATATTAATGATGCCCAAATTTGGCCCAGAGTTGTTTTACAAGATTTCAAAGGCATGACATGATCTCTCTTTCGAAGAAGTAAATATTTATCTATAATTTACCAAAGGACAATTCTGGACCAAAAAGATGGTATAATGGTAGGAAAGAAAGCACAAGAGAGAGAAAGCAGCACAGATTGAGAGAGAGAGAAGCAGGATGGACATGGCAAGGCAGAAGATGGTGTGTTCAAAAGGAGACATGGGCCTATGTGTGTAAGACTGCTATTTAAAATGGAAGAGGCTCTCTTATTTCTCACTGAAAACCATATGAAAAGAGAAAAAACGAGGAATGGGCCTGCTGCAAAATAACCAAGCAATTCAGCAAACTGTGGAATGAAACTCAGTGAGATAACACAGTCCTAAAGAAAAAGAAAAAAAAAACCCAAAAATACAAAACATTTGAAACAATCTACTAAAACAAAGTAAAATATGTGATCCAAAGGACACAGATAAAAGCTACTAGAGAAGGAGGAAAAATGTTAGCAGACAAAGACAGTGCTAAAGAAGTAAAATGGAAGTCAAGAGAGAGTCTTCAACAAAGTGGAGGAACAAAAGGAGCCCAAACCCATAGCGCAAAGCAATGTTTGCGAATGGAAAACAGCTCCTTTGAGCAGTAATAGTTACTCTCGAGTTGTAGCCTCTATTCCTCCTCAGTTCATCTTTAAGCCCTTCCAACCTATAGTGGAGCTAGTGTATGGACAAAAACAAGAGATTTATAATGAACAGAGCAGCTGAGATTTGCAGATCAAATCTTCTAATATAGAAAACGTGCTGACAAAGTTTTGCTCTTACAGTGTCCAAATGACAATGGTAACAAAAGACAGCTGGCTTCACACACAGCCTCTTACAGGTCATTTTTTTTAATTCTGTGCACACAGAGGACTTTAAATATACTTTTTGAATTCTTACACCCAGCCTACAGTTTCCATGTTATCACTCACCTGATGGGCAACATATGCAGTATGAGAAATAATTTGCTTCCCACAAATTTTAAAAGCAGCTGTGGAAGAGGAATCCATGATAATAAAATAAAAGGCTTGATCAGCTAGACTTGGTCATTTCCCAACCTATGCTCACAGCTGCAGAATACAAACCATCTTTTAACATAACTAACATCAAAATTAGTTATTACATAATACTTCTGTTCATTTAATATATAAATTGCACATTGAGATTTTTAACAAAACTGCAGTAAAATGATTTTGAATAAGACCCACCAGTTTTGTAACACATACAGTTTTAGCAGCAATGGAGCTCTGTATAAATGGGGTCATGTGCTTTAAGTGCCTTTTATCATATTCATTATCTGCATGTTTTACTACTTTGTTATTTCTGACATTTACAAAAAAACTGTATTCTTTTCAAAGCTACTGTTAGGTAAAGAAATCCATATTACATTGCATATAGTACCATGACTGACTGGGGCGAGTGATTAGTAGTATTACTTACTACAATTCTTCTCATTCACAGGTAGTTACATAAATAACAACCTATGTCTGTTTCACCTTTCACAGGAAAAGTATAGATTTACTGTTTGACCATTATACAGCCTCTTGGCTCACAATGCATCTTGGCAGATGATACAGTGGGCCACCAGCCAGTATTCCCCTGCGTAATTCAGGCAGGATGTAACCAAACCCAAAGCATTCAGTTCACATTACTCTGTTTTTTTAAGCAAACTTGATTTTATGTTCTATAAGATATAATTTCATTATGCTGGAATGCAACTTGTTAGCTTTCTCCCATAGCTGCAGTAGTAAATAGAATGTGAAATATAATACTCAAAAATAAATTAAAGGAATGGTAAAATAAAGAGTCCTGCTGACAATTTCTATCAATCATGATTGGTCTCAAAAATGAAATCAATGACTATACTGAATTGGATTTATTTATATTTACATGATATGTTTTGCTGCAAATAAAAATCAGTCCACAAAAGGCTTTTTTACAAGAAAAATAGAAAAAGACACAAAGAAAAATTCATGCTACAAGTGAAAAATTCATGTGAAAAATAAAGGGAAAAAGAAAACTGAAAAACCCTTTAACACTTTACCATGACTTAGGAATTGTTAGAGAAATTACTTACCTTTTTAAAGTCATAACAAGATTAGCACAGAGTATTAAGTCAGCTCTTCATTATGGGAGGTACAATTAAAAGCCAGTCGTTATAATAAAACAAATTGCTACACAAAGATGAAGAGTTTCCAGCCCAATATGAAAAGCTAACTCTCATGGGAGTACATTTCAACTCAATTTTGCAACATGAAGACAATTCAGAACAATGACACCAAAACATGAGTTATCACCAACAGAAAGAGCCAATTTCTCAGGAACACAGAGCCTGTAGGAGGCTAACCCATAATCTTTATCATTTATGGGAAAGCACATTGCTTCACTTTAAGGAAAGCATGCAGAATATGGAACCACCAGCAGAAACCCAAACATTCATACAGACACAGAGGACTAAGGTACAGCAAAGGGAATGAGTTCGTCAAGCTGTAATGAAGGAAGCAGGGTATGCAAAGCATAGCAGCTGTTAACAATTTAGAACTCTATTCCTCTAACGGTCTCATGAACACTGGGAAGGCCTGTCTATGAGGTATTACACCTACTACAACTTGCTGTTTGTGAGGAAGCGTGTAACATATAACCTCTCCTTGAAACTTTAGCAGTTTTATGAAGACAATTTATTCTCTGTGATGTGGGAAAGCATGCTGCTGCTGCATTCTTCTACATGTGATTTATTAGTAATGACATCATCTGAGTTCTGTAAAATACACCCTGTGCACATGCCATTTGAATGGTCTCTCAAATACCTATCTGCTTTAAATAGATTTCAAATCACGTATGATCTGATTTATAAATGTAGGGTTTACATGCTGTTGCCCAAAATACCTTTTCCCTGCTAAGAGTGAAACATATATTAATCAATATCTGTAAATAAACACATAAAACTAAACCATGAATAACAATGTCTCAAGCTGTTGTGATAGTACTGTAAAAATTATTTTGGTCTGTTATTCTAAGCAATATATGTAAGGTTAAATTAGGAGCAAATTGAAAAATGTTACGAATTACATTGGTTGGTTTCATTAAATTGTTTAAATCTAATCTGAAGAACAGAGAATTGCTTTGATTTAATTAATACAGAATATAAAAATGAAGTTGTTAAAAAACATTCACAGGAAAAGAGTATCTTGGAATTGCAAACTTCAGAAAACATTCAATTAAGTATTTGAGGATTAAATAATGCTAATACAAGATGCAATCTTCCTATTTCAGGAACGCATTCCTAATCAAACA